GGGGAGCTGTGTCCTTGCTTGAAACTGCAGCCCTTGGAGCCCACCCCACCATCTGTCCCCTAACCACCACCCCCACCGGACCCCGGCTTGTAGCTTGAGAGCTGAAGCTGGGCATTCTGTCCCCTCCCTCCACCCGTAAGGGGCCAGCACCTCCAGGAAGCCTCCCTGGGCTCCCCGCTCTGCACACCCCAGGCCTGTTGGCTGCCCATAGGCTTCAGCAGACCCTGAGTGAGTGAGATCAGTGAGGGAGTGGGGCCCACCTGCCCCCTCTTCCCTGAGGCACACTGGGTGCCCATTGATGGGCGCCCTGCCCAGGGAAAGTCTGGGGGTTCCAGCCCACGTCTGGTGGGGCAGGAAGGCTACCTCGCGGTTTCCGCTCTACACTGGTCCTCTTGTCCTTTGAGAAACAAAGCAGACTAGTGAAAGGCAGCAGCCGATTCCCTGAGGAGAGACAGAAGACTCACTCGCTGCCTGCCTGCCTGCCTGTCTGCCTGCCTGCCTGCAGTCTCCTGGGACCACATCAGCATTTCCTGACCAGGAGCAGGGAGCAACAGGGCTACCCTGGCTTAGCTTCACCTCGCCCAGCCCCTTCCCCTGCCCCTGCACTCCTAGGCTCCACCCACTAGCCATCCCTGAGAGCTTCCTCTTCTCCCTGGGCGTGTGTGTGTGTGTGTGTGTGTGTACATACATACGTACACACGCACATGCACGCACGTGCGGTCATGTATCACTCTGGGGGCATCACCTGAAAACTAGGGCCCCGGCCCAGCCCCATAGAACGGACTACACCAGGGCAGAATCCTAGAGTCCACTGGGCTGGTCCATGGGTGGGGCTGGTTGTGCATCTACCCTGGAGATTTTCTGTCCTTTTAAAGACTCTTATCCCAACCTTCCCCCTCCCTGCCCACGGGAGGCACAGGCTCCTCTTTCCTTTGGCCGCTCAGAGACACCCTGAGCTGGCGGCCCGGTCAGCAGCTTGGACTCATCCCAGAGAGAGGGATGGGGGCGGAGAGGCAAGCTGGAGGGTCAGGGAAAACACAATTCCAGACCAGGGCAAACTGGGCCTGTGCCACCTGTGGCCCTGGCTGGTGGACGGGTTTCCCATCCCGGGGAGGCACTCAGAGGCCAGGAAGGAGGGACCAGGCCTGGTTCAGGTTTGGGCTGTGGGCAGGGTGGGAACTGGCTCAGCCTGGGCACAGAGACCACCGAGAAGGTGCTGCAAGTCATGTCGGTGTGGTGAGCTCTGTGGGGTCCTGACCGTCAGAGGGGGTGACGCGTGGGGAAGTGTTCGTGCCCACCGGTTGACTTCTGCTATTTCCGTCATCTTTTCATTCATCAGAGAACCCAGCATTTACGAGTGCTTTTTATAAGACTGGCCCAGTGGAGATTCCGATGTGGGCCCTCCCTGCTCCCTGCTCTCCGGGAGCCCCCAGGCTGGCAGAAACACGGATGAGAAGAGGGCCAGCTAGGCTGCGTGGAGCGGTCCTCGTGGAAAAGTTTTCCTAGAGCCCAGCACCTGGGGACTAGACTTTGACCCTCAGAGAGCCACCCGCCCGCTCAGAGATCCTTTCCCTGCAGCAACACCGATGGCAGAGAGAGGGGATTTTGGCTTCTGATTAGGATGTAGGAGGGCGTGACCGACAGTTTCTTCCACGCTGAGATTAAATTTTAAAGATCCATTTGTGTCGTCTTCCCCATCCGAGGTGGACTGCAGACTGAGAATCTAATGAAACTCACTGCTAGAGGTGGGGGTGGGTATGTGCGGGGCTGAGAACTTTGGAAATGAGTAGGGTGTGTAAGGCAACAAGTTAGCCACGGCACCTGTACACAAGGTTGTCTTCTAGCTGGTAAAGTTCTCCTCCGAGGTGGGGGAGGGGGAACCTGGTTAACCATTCTGAAACCTCCATACCTGTATGTGGGCATTGGACCAGGAGGTAGCCAGGTGATGCTGGTGAGAGCCAGACTTCTCAATGTCAGAGTGGGAGGTTCAAGGAAAAGCAGGGGGCGCAGGTTCGAAGGGTCCACTTGGTAATGACTCAGAGGGGGAGACACCAGTATGACGTGATAGGTAGCTTAGTATACACACGGATGGCTGCATACAGACATATTAATCTGGACTCTGCCATTGAGTTCTTTCTGACCCACAGCAACCCGATAGGACAGGGGAGAACTGTAGCTCTTTGTGGCAGTCGACAGCCTCGTCTTTCTCCCTCAGAGTGGCTGGTGGTTTCAAACTGCTGACCTTGCGGTTAGCAGCCCAACATGTAACCACTAGCCCCCAGGGCTCCTGCAGAAAAATGAATAGTGAGGGGATACATACAGCGGGGTATTGACACGTGCCTATTTCTCTGCTCTGTTAGCCTAAAGGACTTAGACAGGATGACACCTAGCAGCCGGGTTTTGGTTTCTCACACCAGCTCCCAATTAAGACCTTCAGTCTCCTGGGAGAAAGAGCTGGGTCTGCCACAGTGGTGGGTGGAGGGACAGAAAACATACAAGATCAGCCTAGAGTGTCAGAAAGTAAGAAAGTGCTTAAAGAAAAGAGACACTACCCCCACCCCCCACCCAACAATAGATCTATTGGTGTGTGCCAATTGTGCCTAGGACGCAGTTGAACCCGTGGCGGAAGTCAGGATAATTTGAGCAACAAAAGAAACTGCTATTGACTTGTATATGAATGAAATCTCAATACGCCCACACGGTCACAGATGACCCTTGAAGAACTTGATAGGGGAGAAGAGCTAACGTTCAATGGCAGAAAACTCCATCTTTAGGTCGATGCTTTACCCTAAGGAGATGGGTCCCCACCCCCTAAGTGTCCACTATGTCTAAGGACTTTCTCCCAAAGAGTTGCTTCCTAGTGGAGAAAGCGGGCCCTGGTGGCGTGAAGCTTAGGGCCTCTCTCGGCTGTTCACGGACAGAGCGGTGGTTTGAACCCACCCACCGCCTGGCAGGAGACCATCTTGAGGAGCCGTCCCCTCAGCGATGACAGCCCGGGAAACCCTGCACGCAGTGGTGCTCTGTACAGAGGGTCGCTGTGAGCTGGGATCCGCTGGACGGCAAAAGACGGCAACAGTGAGGTCGCCTGACAAACACTGTCTTGGCAATCAGGGAAGTCATGCCCACAGTGCGGGCCCTTGCCAGGATGCGATGTGATGGCACTTTGCTTCTGTGCCTGTCCTCTCCCCAAACGCACGACCCCAGGATAGCCGGGACAGGCTCGTCAGACAGATCCCAGGTGGAGAACATTCCACAAAAGCTCACCAGGAACCCTCAAACATGGTTAAAATGATAAAAAACCAAACAGTGGAAGAGAAAGGACCACAGCCCAGGAGAGTAGGTGTGCAGTGCAATGGGCGGGGCCCTGCTGGGTGGAGTCCCAGAAGGGGAAATGAGCAAACCAGAGGGGGAAATGGAGGAAAGAAACTAGAATGGACCTTCCTTCCTAGGGTTGCATCCGTATTGGCTCATTTGTGGGGTGGGGTTAGGTGCCTTGGGTCGGTTCCGGCGCCCAGCGCCCGTGCACCATGGAATGAAGCACTACCCGTCCTGTGCCCGCCGTCTGCATCATGGGTCTTATGCCCCAGTCCATTGCCATGGGTCACTCCGTCTCCCTGAGCGTGCTGTCCTTCTCCAGGGACTGGTCTCTCCGGACACCGTGTCCAACGTGTGTGAGACAAAGCCTCACCCCCCATGCCTTCCGAAAGTTTTGCTTTTCCAAAGGTTGACCTTGATTGGAATACATCTTTCTCTTCAAAGGAAGAAAGAGAAAGTGGGGGTGGGGCAGGTGGGGAGGGTGAGCCGTCTGGCTCAGCGTTCAGTTCAGCAGGAGACAGGGCTACAAGGGGGCAAGAAAACTCGCAGTACCGAGTTCAGGACGACCTTAGACCAATCGACTTGTTGAGCTGGAACACAACTCAGAAGGGGGAGTGGAGCTAGAAGACAGGGTGGCAGTGGGATAAGGGGATTATAGTCAACGAGATGAACCAGCCTGTGCGTGGATTGTTGATGGGAAACGGCGGACCCATTCACTCTGCAAACCGTCACCCAGTTCACAGCAAAGGTGACCCAGCTCAACGGAGCCGAAGGTTAGAAAGCCGAGAGACCGAGTGGAAAGAGGCGCATTCCAAGAAGAGCTTGGTTGCTTGGTTTCACGGGAAGAAAAAAAAGAGTCTCTCTGGAGACTACATCGCCACATGCTGGCGTCTCGCAAGTGTGGGTTAGACGTTGACACGGCTGTGTGGTCAAGGAAACCTGCATCCGGGAACTCCTTTCAAGCGGTTCGGATCTGGTAGCATCCCAAGGTGCCTGCTGGAACAAACACACCTGTTCCCTGGAGGAAAACTTCCACAGCCTGAGCCGCACAGGGGACCCACAAACAGGGCCCATTTGCACATGGGGTTTCTGTTTGGAAAAAGACACGTTTTCCCGAGTGAGAACCCCCACGCGGCCACGTTAGACCCCCAGTGGGTTTCCGACTGTGGGGCGGACTGGCTCAGAAGATGACGTCGGTGGCCTCAGGAGCAGCTCGAGTCCCCTCCGCGTGTGGCTTTGTAGTTGGTTCCTCCACTGAAAGGGACACGCGGCAGTTCTCCCGTGGCTGAACTTGGGGGTTGTCCACGTGACCTGCGGTGGCCAACTGGATGCAGTGGAAATGACATCACTGCCCGAGTCTGTTCGGACCGGTCATGCTTGCGCTCGGCTCTTTTCTGTTGGTCTCGGGGCGATGCGGGGCAGGCGCTTGGCTGATGACTGAAAGGTGGGTGTTTACCCAGAGGGCCCCCAGAAGAGCGAGCTGGTGAACGATGTTGGAAAGCCCAGCCTTTGGAAACCCTTCGAGCTCCGTTCAGTTCTGCCGACACCCCTGGGGTCAGCACGGGGCGGGAGTTGACGCAGGGCAACTGGCTGTGTGAACTCCATTGCTAGCCTGCCGTTTTCTGGAGAAGAATGTGCTCAGATTGTCTAGCTGAGCCTAGAAGGCCGAGCTCAACCTAGATCAGCCGACCCCTCATCAACGGATGGATGTGGGCCACACTGATGGCTGTTTTTAAGCAACTGGGTCTCGGTATGGCTTGCTAGGCAGGACATCTTTTTTTTTTTTTTGCCTGCTACATTTTACTTTATTTTGCACATAAAGAGAACCAATAATTGACTATACAGTTCCAGAATTGCTAGTATTCATTAGGGAGGAAATGAGATCAGAAGCAAACTTTTCATTTCCTCCCAAACATCTATTTCAGGTTATCACAAAAACTGGCAATACGTGCAACACAGGCTGGCTTTCAACATACAGAGAGCGCCCAAGCTAGAAGGGTAAGAGTGAAGACCCACAGGGGTCACATCTGAAGCTGTGCTCCAAGAATCTCAGATCTATCCAGCCCAACATTCACCTTGGCCCCTGACATACTGGCCCTGACGTTCATTGCTCTTTGTCAACAGCC